AAATACTTACCTGACTCTTTCCCTCTGGACATGGTGGGCTCAGTGTGAAGTTTTGAGAGCCAGAATTGAGGCAGAGAAGCAGCTGGCCCTGAGATGAAGGTCTGGGCTTTGGTGACATCCCTTACCCTCAGAACTACTATGATCATTTCAGCTGTAGAGGACACCTTTTCATTTCCCTCCTGTAATTGAGATCCTGTGCCACTTTTCTTGCTGTGTCTTGTATTTCACTGAACATAGTGACCTCCAATACTATCATTTGTTCATGAAAGTTACAGGATTGTATCCACTTTCATGCTGAATAGATTGTCACTATGTGTGGGTACCATGTTTTCTTTATCCATTCTTCAGTAGATGGACTCTTGGTTTGTTTCTGTTCTGCGGCTATGGTGAACAGTGCTGCATAAATACGGAAATGCCTCCAATGAGTCCACCTCATTTCCTTGAGGTAAGTTCCCAGCAGTGGGATTGCTCTTCATATGTAAGCTGTATTAATTTTTTGAGGAACCTCTGCATTTATGTCCATAATGGCCATCATAATTTACATTTCCACCAATCGTGTGCAAAGGTTTTGTTTTCTCCTTATCACAGTGACCTCATTATTCTGTCTGCTTAAATCTTACTATCCATCTGCTGAAGTTTTTGATTATTTAACTTTACAGTTGCAGAATTTCACTTATTTATTTATTTATTTGGGTACTGGGGATTAAACTCAGGGGCACTTAACTACTGAACCTCATCCCTAGCCTTTTTTTTTAAAAAAATTATTTGGAGACAGGGTGTTGCTAAGTTGCTAAGGCTGGCTTTGAACTCACTGTACTCCTACCTCGGCCTTCTGAGTTGCTGGGAATAGAGGTGTGCACCATTGCTTCAGGCTAGAATTTCTATTTGGTGTCTTTTTCTTTTAGCGGTCTCTCTATGGACATTTCCATTTCATTCATACATAACCTTGAGGGGTTTCTGCAAGTTTGCTATTAGTACTTTGAACATTTTAAAGATAGTTTTTCAAAAGTTGTTGCCTGCTTGTTCCACCTTATGGCCTTTCTCAGGGTGGATTTTGTTGGTTTATCTGAACTTGAATGAATCATACTTTCCTGTTCCTATATGTGCCTTTTCACTGCATTTGAAAACTAGACATGTGAATATAATAATGCAATAACTCTTGAAATTATGTTCTCACTGGTCTCAGAATTTGCTGGCTTCATTTTTTTCTTGTAGTGGTCTGTTTTAGTCAGATTTTTCACTTCTGTGACTATAAAGACCCAACCAGAACAACTATAGAGAAGGACAAGTTTATTTGGGGGCTCCTGGTATCAGAGGTCTCAATCGATAGACAGCAGATCCATTCTTTGGGGCTCAAGGTGATGCTGATCATCATGGTGGAAGAGTGTGGTGGAGGGAAGCAGCTCACCTGATGATCAGGAAGAAGAGAGAGAGAGAGACTCCACTCTCTAGATAAAAAAATATGTACCCCATAGCCATGCTCCCAATGAACCACTTCCTCCAGCCAAACTCCACCTGTCTCCAGTTGCCACTCAGTTAATCCCAACAGGGATTAATTCACTAATTAGGTTAAGCCCAATCATTTCTCCTGCAGACCTTCCTGCATTGTCTCACAGGTGATCTCTTGTGGGACACCACATCTAAACCATTACATGGCTGTCTTTCCAAAGATGGGGATGAATCCACAGTGAAAACCTAAGGTCTTCTCAGGTCTGTTCTGAGAGGGTTCTGGCTCTGTGCATACACAGTGATGTTTTAAATTCCATGGGACGGGCAATGCTCTTGAACGTCCTGGATGTTCACTGACTTACTGCAGAAATGAAGAATGGGAGGGGAAAAAGGAAGAGGCAAAAAAAAAAGAAAAGCAAAGAAACCAAAAAAGGAGCCCTTTGAATTGCAGGAGAGAAAAGGGAGTATCTGTAATGCTGTGGAAGGTGTGACCTTGACTGCCTGCCTGTGTCAGGAGCTCCAAGGCTCAGAAGGCAATCAGCAATGAAAGCACAGGTCTCCACTTGACACCCAGGGTTCCTATATACCCACGCTGACTTCTTCAAGTTGTGGGCAAGCTGCTGCAGGGGCCCAGACACATGGCTGATGCCCTGGGTGTGGGGTGGGGGTGGGTGAATGCTGCTGTGCTAAAAGCTGAAAAAACATCTGATATTAAATTTTCCTTTAAAGCTCTTTGCTGGAAGTTCTAAGCCAACAGTATATTCCAGACAGCTTCCACAGATTATGACAGTGAACTTTTGTCTATGGGGAGACAGAGTCCTGGTGTTTGCTACTCCACAGTCTTCCCAGGATTCTCTCCCACCAAAGAGCTTTGACACCACACCTGGCATAGATTGATGCTGAGACATTGATGAGTGAGACAAGGAGAGAGAGAATGAGTGGGAGACCTGACATGAGATACAACTCAGAGGGAAGTGATGTTCACCTGGGTGTGGCAATGACAGGCAGGGAAACAAACGCCTAATGCACACTTTCAGAAGATACTGAGATTCACTGTTTGCGTTGGCAAAAAGACTCAAATCACTACCAACACATCTAAAACGCGGATCCTGATGTTTTTCTGGCGTAAATTTTCAAAGTTTCAATTGATGTCGTAGAAGAAAATGAAAGAGAACATCTCAGTGGTCTTTTAATAGGACATGTGAATAGAACATATATTATTAACTATCAAGTGGGACATGTCAAGTGACATTTATTGAAAATGAGAACATCAACTCTGTTGAAATTCACAGAAACATTTGGTAAACTCTTTGGCAATATAACCTCAAGCCAAATAGGTGCAAACCTAGGACCAAAAATGGCAACACATCTGTATGTACACCTAGCAGATATTCATATCAGTATCATCAAAACTTCTTGAGGAACCTACACGGCACTGCTGACCACCATGCTCCCAACTGAAAGACTCTCCCCTGTTGTATTAATCTACTTCTGCTGCCACATCCAAAAGCCTATGGCTGGGTATTTGGTAGAGAAATATATTTAGCTCAAAGTCTGGAGATTCTGGTGCCCACATCTGCTCAGCTCTGGTGAGGGACTCCCAACAGGTGGAATGACAATGATGTGAGCACATACAGAGGAGACCTCAGGGCAGTGACCCGGAGACACCTGAACTCGCTCTATGACAACCCCTTCTTGTGGGAGCTAATATATTCCACAAGGTCAGCATAAGCCCTTCTAAAGGGTGTTTACCCAATGACACAAACACCTTCTACTAGTCTCCCTTCTCAAAAGTCCACCACCTTGATGTCATCACATTGGAGACAAAGTTTTCAACATACAACCCTTTGGGGAAAAATAAATCAAATAACATTCAGAGCATGTGAGCATCAAGAAAAGAATGCCTATGAATCAGCTTCCTTATATCAGAGAAAACATTCGGCATTGGGTATTTTGGGATTGGCTAACTTCACTTAGGATTATCTTCTGTAACTCCATCCATTTACCTACAAATGCCATGATTTTATTCTCTTTTATTGCTGAGTAATATTCCATTGTGTATATATGCCACATGTTTTTAATCCATTCATCTATTGAAGGACATCTAGGTTGGTTCCACAATTTAGCTATTGTGAATTGTGCTGCTATGGCTGATTCATAGTGTGGAATGGAGGGGGATTATGGGAGGGAGGAATAGATGAACTTTAGATAGGGCATAGAGGTGGGAAGGGAAGGGAGGGAGCATGGTGGAATGTGAGTATCCAAAGTACATGTATGAAAACATGAATTGATGTGAATATACTTTGTATACAACCACAGATATGAAAAACAGTGCTCTATATGTGTAATAAGAATTGTAATTCATTCTTCTGTCATATATAAATAAAAAATTAAAAAATAAGAAAAGAATGGCTAATTGTTTTATATTCTCACAGCTGCATTCTGTTGCCAACATGTGGAAATACAAATTTTAAAGCACATGGTATAGTCAAAGTCAAATATAAAATATTTTAGGGCTTGGGTTCTGGCTCAGTGGTAGAACACTCGCCTAGCACGTACGAGGCCCTGGGTTCGATCCTCAGCACCACATAAAAAAATAAGATAAAGGTATTGTGTCTGACTACAAGTAAAAAATATTTTTAAAAAACTTATAAAAATTTTTATTGTGAACTAATTCATTTTTATAAAATACAAAGGAGATGAAAGTGAACTGAACTGTTAGATGTCATGCACTGGTCACTCTTGAAGATGCTAAAGAGACTAAGCATAGTGTCTTTATACAAAGGAGCTGTATGCAAAGGTATGTGTTCAGTTTGTAAAGTTTCTTCCGGTAATGCATGCTGGACTTGTACATAAAAATATTTTAAAGATACATATCAGTAATTTTAAATTTAAAATTGAATACTATATATTGTCAAAGTATACAGTAAATGCATTAAATAAGTTAACATCACGATTATGTTTTGAAAAGATGCAACAGCATTCTGAATATAAGACAGCAGAAATCAAACAAGAAAATTAAATACTACTGGTTTTCTAACTTGACAATGGTGTCCTATTATGTTCAATATTATGTGAAATATATAAAAAGATTTTACCTACTAAAGGCAAATATTATTTGAGTAGATTTGTCTTGATACTTCAGAAAACATAGCTAAGACATATAGAGAAATTCTGATCAATAAAAATACATTCCACATATGTCAATAAGTTAACAACTGGAATATAAAAACAATCAAAGAAAATGTTTTCACACTAAAGTACTTTGCCATTGTTGTAATTGGCATTGTTTTTTAAATATTAAATTTACATTTGTTAAATATAACTTTCCAGAATTACTGCTTGATGGATAAAAAACATAATTCAAGTGATATGCATGACCAGGAACTCATGTGCACACCCACATAGGTACACATGCACACATTTTTAATATCCAGTGTCTATGCTGTGTATTCTCAAGAGATTTGACCTAGCATAACTGTTCTTACAATTTTGTGGTAAAGAATGAATACAAGTAAAAATTGAGCAAAACCTTACAGATGACATTTGCATCACAGATCAGGGGTTTTCCTATTCCTTTTCCAGGCAAAGGAGAACCTGCTGCCACTGGAGTCTCTGCTCATGAGCAGAAAGGGGCTGACAGCTGGGAAACACCCAGAGATCCACAGAGATGTGTTTACCAGCAGCCAGTGGGGATTATACAAAACAGACAAGCAAACCTGAAAGACGCAGGAAAGTGTGTAAAAAGAGACAAAGGTGCTCACCAGGAGGAGGATGGTTTTGGTGGCTCTGGACTCAGGGGAGGACCTGGGGGAGCTGGGCTTATGAACCTGCTGCATTCTCTGCTTGTGCCTGTGCAGGATGAGCACCATGGAGCTGCTGGCCCAGAGCATGAGCCCCACACACACGACATCAGGGAAGGTTAGCAATGCTGCATGCAGTGAGTCTGTGGTTGTGTCATGACGAACACTAGAACAGTATACGAAATCTTTTAGAATTGTGAAATTTTTGTTGCTTCTTCTCCCAGTCATGTGCATAAGAAAAACAACATTTACAAGGAGGTACAGGATCCAGCTCAGGTATATGGAGGAGCCAATGTACATGGGAGCTTTCACTTTAAGCTCTGCCCATCTGGAGTCACCAGGACTGATCTTAATGGCCTGGAAGACACCCAGGAGGCAGGTGCTACCCATGGATACACCCCTGCCCACCCTGTGAAGATAGAAAAGCATCTTGCATTCGAAATCACTGAGGAAATCTTTCACTCCAAAAGCTGCCACTGTCTGGGGAACTCCTCTACACAGGAGAGCTAACAAGTTGGCCACAAACAAGTGCTGAAGAATCAAGTCTGTGTGTCTTACCCTGCACCCAGTGAAGTAAAGGACCAGGTAATGGAGGAGAAGACAGGAATTGCCCAGAGCTCCAACCACAGTCTGTGCCAGGAAGATGATGCCTACAGCCACATCACTGGTTGCCATCCTGACAGTTCCTTGGTTTCCCAGCCAGAGGGTCCTGCAGGGGAACAGGAGGCCTGGGCTGCATGTGTCCTCTCAACCAAAATCCAGCATTCCCACTGTGAAATTTTACTTAAGGTTTTATTTTCTTTAGCAGTTTTCTTTTGTACCAGAGATTGAACCCAGGGACACTTAAACCACATCCACAGCCCTGTTTAAATTTTATTTAGCGACAGGGTCTTGATGAGTGGCTTAGGGCCTCACTAATTTGCTGAGGCTGGGTTTGAACTCTCAATCCTCTTGCCTTAGCCTCCTGAGTCCCTGGGATTACAGGTGTGTGCAACCATAACTGGTTCACTAGCAGGGTTTAATGAGGCTTGTATAAATTGTTAAGGCATGAAGTGTGTATAAATTCCACCTATGAAGGCAATACATGGTGATTCTTTCACAAGTATAGGCAGGTGCTGAGATGGCTTTGAGTGCAACCAGGAGAATTTATGAACACAGAGATGAAGTCTCTGTCCATATGCATACTCTGATCAGGTGCCAAGAGGGGTCTTGAAACTGGCTGACTGTTTACAGAGAGGGTAGATGAATCCCCAAGCATTCCTAAAGCTGATGAGGTGGGTTCTTCTATCATTCTAGCTTGTTTTTTACTATTACTTTTCTATATTTCTAATATCTTCTAAACTCATGTTTTGTAGCTTCTTACCTTGATGTTTCTATTTCTTTGTAAAGTTTTATTTCCTGTACATGCTACAGCAATTATAGGGGAACCTTTAGATGTTTTAGTAACTGCAGGTGCACTGAAGGAACTATAGCAGACACCTGTGTCGCGACCCCTTGCCCGCAAGGAAGACGCAACTCGAGAATCTTCTTTCAACAGTTTATTCAGGTCCCTGGATATTTCTTCTTCTTCCTCTCAGGTGCCCCTCCCAGCCTTAATAAAGCATCCCAAGCCCCAATGCAAAGCTGCCGCGTGGAACTTTCTCACAGGGTGGTGAAAAATCATGTGCCAACTTTCCCAGATAAGAAGTTGTTTGTCACAGACCACAGCGGAGCCAGCGCCATCTTGTAATGGCGACCATAATCTGCAGAAACGGCAGAAGCGGCTCACCACAGTTCCCCCTTTTCTGTTTTATTAAAACAATACAGGCGAGAGTAGAGGTCCTATCCCACTGTGCAGAAGTGGCTGCATAGTATGGCTCAGTCCCAAGGAGGGCCCTTCCCCAGATCTGAGGCCATATCAGCCGACGCCTTTTTTCGTGGGGCGGGGCGTGGACGCGTCGAACCCGCATGCAATAGGACATGCTCTCCTTGAGGTCCTCGTCAAGGATCACTCAAGTGCAGTGCCTTGCCTCGCATCCTGTATCGTGACGATGGTGGACGAAGGGGGATAGCTGAGGCTGAACTGTGGCTATTTATAATGACAAACAAGTTGATAGCACCCTGAAAGAAAGGCAGGAACTTTAAGGCGATAGAAAAGCACTAGTGTGGAAACCCATCTGCGTGCAATGGCAGTAATACCGGCAGAGTGCAAGGGCTTTCCAACACTAAGAGAATAACAAGGAAAGTCATGTCGATCCCAGTGCAATGTTATAATAACTTGGGGTGTAACGACCATGACAAAGGTTTACTGCTTAAGATGCGCAAGCCAGACTTGAGGCGAGTTGCCATTTTCTAAAGCTGCAAGAGCTTGTATGATCATAGCCTTTTCTTGTGCATGGCGAGTTTTAAGGCGACAGAGAAGCCACAAACAAAGCACAACACTGAAGCAACACATTGCCCCAAAAATGCCTACTCCCACCCACTCTTTGAAGAAGGAAAAAGCAGAAGATATCCAATCGGTGAATTGACCCAAAGTCACTGGTTCGACACGGGTACTATTCAAAACAGCAATCTGAGTTAGTTGAGACTGGATCAAGTTTTCTGCTTCCATGGACCAGGTTCCGGATAGATATTCTCCGATGATGCGGGAGGCATTTCTGGAATCATTAAATCTGACAGAGGTTATGCATAAATGTGCACGTTGGTCAACACAACCCAAAAGCACCAAGTCGGCCAATTCTTCTACCTGAGCTTGGAGTAAATCTATTCTTTGGTTGGCAGCTAAAATCCCTGACAAAATATGTTGATTAATTGAATTTTGGGACTCAAGTATGGTAGAAGTTTGTTGAACAACTTGATTAATGGTGGCAGCAGTTTGTACTTGACTGGCCATGGCCACTCCGGCCGTAACCGCTGCAGCAGCAGACACTGCCACAGCTGTCACTATAGCTGCCGTAATTCCAAAATCCCTGCGGACTCTAAGTAGCTCAACAATGGGGAATTTATCTGGGTCCGCAGTGACTGGGATTGGGACAAAGGTTGGAATTTTCATAACCACTGCTACAGTCCAAGAACCATTCCAACACTCAGATAAGAGACAGGTAACACTAGAACAATCCAGCATCCCTGACGAGGTGTCATTAGTCAAAAGGAGCAAGAATGGGGATTGGACGCAGACCATCGCAGGGGGCAATGTGGCATTATATAGCAAAGAGTTGAACGAAACAGATGTAAGTCTATTACCCCGTTCACTCTCGCGAACAGTACCAGAAACATTAGCCAGCCAGCTTCTGACTCCCAGCAATTGAGCCAATGCAGAAATATCAGCTGAAGCCCCCTTCTCATTGAAAATCAGCCATTGAAACCAGGACCAACCTACTCCTGTAGAGGAGTTGGCACTATGGTTAAAGTTATAAACATACCTCTTAAGAGAGGGGGAAAAAGAGAAACCCTTAGCAACTTGAAGTCTCTCCCAAGAATGATCCTGACAAGGCGTAAATGTTGGGGGGAAACCAAGATTAGGGGTACAGTAAGGAGAGGCCTTGAAATGAGTGGCATTGTAAGTACTATTAGAAGAAGGAGGCACTGGGATTAGTACCTTGGAGATCATAGCCAAGGTAGTTATGTTAAAAGCAGAGCTATTTACAGGGGTCCCTGAACCTAATTGCTTCCCTGAAACTACTTGGCTCAGTACGGCATTAATAATACTCCCTGAGACCTGATTGGACCGCAATGGATCCTCCCAGTTAGTCAAATTTTTGATCTTAAGGCTGATGCAATTAGCGTTTCCAAGGCTGAAACAAAAAACTCCTGTGAGATTAACCTGAGATTGATTAAAAATGCTCTCCACGTCCCCTCTAGGAGAGGCACAGGGAGCAGACATCTCACATGAGGTAGAGAAAAGAGTGGGGAGGACACTAGAACTACCATGAACCGGCATCGGCATTGGCCAAGCCCGTGCCACTGCCCACCACTGCATTGGTGTCGTCTGTGCCATCGGCACCAGCACCAGAACCAGAGCACGTAGCAGAGTGAAGATCCTCATCACAGGGTTGCTGTGGTATCTCTTGTTGTTGGTCGGTTGATGTCAAGACTCTTCTTGTCAGACGTTCAGGGACCCACAACGGCTCCGTGCGATCCTGGGGAAAAACACATACAGATCCTCGTGCCCATGTCAGCACGGGGTCGGGGCCGTTCCATTGGCCCGTAAGAACATCCTTCCACTTAACATAGCCAATCACAGAGGGCTGAGGGGACACATGTCTATCGGCCACAGAGTGACCATGAATATCCAAATTTAAAAAATTAATGGTAAAGAGAGCTAAGGACAGGCGTTCTTTAGGAGTGTGTTCAGCTCCTATTCCCCCTTTTTGTTTTTGTAACGTTTCCTTTAAGGTGCGATGAGCACGCTCAACAATGCCTTGTCCTTGAGGATTGTAAGGCAGACCATGAGTAAGTTGCACTCCCATGGTAGAACAAAAGGATGTAAATTGTCTGCCAGTATAAGCAGGTCCATTATCAGTCTTAAGGGATGCAGGAGCACCCCATGCTGCCCATGCTTCTAGGCAATGAGTAATAACATTACGTGCCTTCTCTCCCGACAAAGCAGAGGCATGAATAACTCCAGAGCACGTATCAACAGAAACATGTACATACTTGAGGTTACCAAAGTCAGGTATGTGCGTCACATCCATTTGCCAGACAACCAATGGCTTCAATCCCCGTGGGTTCACTCCATAAGTAGGGGGATGAAGAAATGTGACACAATGGGGACATTGTAATACTATCTGACGAGCATCCGCTCTTGAAATGGAAAAACGCCTGCGCAGCGTTAAAGCATTAACATGGAAATTCTGGTGAAATAATTTAGCCCCCTCTAAGGAGGAAGCCAAGCATATCAACTGGTCTCTAGTGGCTGAGTCTGCACAGGCATTACCCTGTGATAACGGACCAGGAAGAGAGGTGTGAGCCCGTATGTGCATTGGATAAAAAGGAGCAGTGCGGCTACAGATAAGTTGTTGAAGCTGATTAAAGTAAGCAGATACATTATGGGCATTACTAATAGCTCCCACGGCCTCCAGGACTTTGAGTGCTTGTACCACATAAATGGAGTCCGAGATAAGATTAAAAGGAAAAGAACATTGTTTAAAAACCTCAATAACAATTTGCAGTTCAACCCATTGTGGATTACCAGGAGCAAATTGATGCTGAACAGGGGGAGAATCATTAATTACATAAGCTCCCATTCCAGACTTGGAACCATCAGTGAAAATATTAACAGCCCCCGGAATTGGGTTGGGTGAAGTTACCTTAGGGAAAATGATGGGATGTTCTTTAACAAAATGGAGTAATGGATGGGAAGGGTAATGATTATCAATATCCCCTTGAAACGAGCAACATAGAATAGCCCAGTTGTCTAGAGTAGCACACAAAACATTAAGCTGAGCCTTAGTATAGGGTATAATAAGAGAAGAAGGTGATTGTCCGAAAAATTGAATGCTTTGGTGGATCCCTTTAAGTGCTAACGCTGCAACAGCATCAGGATAGTATTCTAAAGATTTTCCTGGGGATATATGTGGGTGGATCCATAGTAAAGGCCCATCTTGCCACAGTACTCCAGTAGGCTGCCGCATAGTGGCAAGCACACATAACTGGAAAGGTTTATCACTGCGGAGCCTGCATAGAGTAGCATGTTG